GGCAGCCGGTGGGTGAGGGGTCACCCGCCGGCTGCCCGCCAGCGGCAGCTTTCCGGGCGGCGGGTGCCCGGCGGGCAGCCGCCCGCCCGCCGGCTGCCCGCTGCCGGCGTTGCCAACATTGGCCGCGGGTAGGTGGCGGGTCCCCTACCCCCACCTACCCCCCACTGACTCTTTCATCACCGAAAACGCCCCGGGAACCATTGTGGAACCCGAAACCATGCTTAGACACTTTCAAACGCAATTGATAACAACACGTAGACAATTAACGGATCCAAACGCAAGAACATACGGCACATAACCTATCATGCTTTTCTAAACATAATCAATACCCAAACATACGAATTCCCGCCCAATATACCAAGAATAATACCATACGAGTTCCACGATACAACCTAGGGTTCTAATTACTTTTAAATCAACAAGAACACAATTCATCTTCTAATATCAAGATTCGGTAGGAATATCACATAAACATCAAGAACATCATATAATCATCAAGAACATCAAGAGCACCACATAATCATCAAGAACATCAAGAACACCATATAATCATCAAGAACCTCTTATCATCAAGATCATCAAGATCACCCATGGAATCTTAACACCAATTATCAAGATCAATATAACGAATCATCAACACACAAGAATATGGGGGAAATCCTAAGAGGGGAATCATAGCTATGAAAATAGGTTTTGTTGAGACATGGGTTACCTCTTAGCCTTAATTTATTCGAGGGAGTAGGACTCGCAGGACTCTTGTTGCTGGGAGCTCCTTCACTTGAAGGATTCTTGTTGTTAGGAGCTCCTTCGCTTGAAGGATTCTTGTTGCCAACAACCTCCATTGTAGTGGATGACCCCTTGTTACGTATAGCTCTGCGTGGCATGGTGGAGCTTCTGTCAATCCTTCGAACGATGTGGCGAGCGATGTCTTGGGCCCCGTGCAGCTGCACTCCTAGGTTCCTCACTCGGCTTCGAGTCATTGCTCCTTCCACGTTTTGGCTATCACCGGAACCGGCCACGGATGATGCCTTAGAGCGGGTAGCTTGAGCGTAGGTCATCTTGGATGAGGGATTTCTTGATGCCATTTTTGGATTCCTTCCGTAAAGAGCCCGCGAATGAACCGTGAAGAGATGAGAGGCAGAGTTGTCCCACTGGGCGTGCCAAAATCTGTAAACACAAAAAAGCAAACTTTGTATATATTCACAAAATTCCTCGTACAGTGTATGTATAATTCAATGCAGGTACAAAATCTCTGTCTAGTCCTCTGATTCTTCACTGACGTTATCTATTGAAACGCCTCCGGGATTCAAATAGCGTAGTCTCCGGGATTTAAGTGGCACGTGCCTCCGGGATTTAAGTGGCGTAGCTTCTGGGATTTAATTGGCGTGACTTCCAACAATGAGCGTCAAGAATTTAGAAGTAATCAACCCTGCAAAATTTCAAAACACATGCAATGGATTCAAGCTGCCTTAAGATCCTCAAATGCCTTCAAAAGACTTCAAGATCTTCGAGACAATCGATTCTGCAAAGCTCCAAAGTACCTGCAATGGACTCAAATTGCCTGCAAGATCAACAAAAATACCTTCAAATCCTCCAAGCGTTCCTCAATGCCTTCAAGCTCTTCAAATGCTCTCAATTCCTCAAGTTTTCAAGTTCTTCAATGCCTTCAAGTTCTTCGAGCTTTCAAATTGTCAAGCGTTCTTCAATACCTTCAAGCTCTCAAGTCTTCAAGTTGTTTTCAATGTATTTGTGGTGTGATTTAAAGAATGAAATTGAGACTCTATTTATAGTTAAGTTTGTAACTAAAATCCCTCAACAAACTCCACTAATATTTATGAAATTAAATTAATTCATTATCTACTAAAATGAACCTTGCCAAAATCAAGTCTAGGTTCATTATTCTATCATCTAATTCAAATTCAAATTAAATTATAATTATCTAATTCAAATATAATAAAATCATATTATATTTAAATTATAATTATAATTATAATTCAATTATGAAATGGGCTTGGACCAATTAATTAATTAATTCAATAGCCCAAATCAAATTTATTTGGACTAATTAAATTAATTTAATTATCATAGCCCAATTAATTAAATTGGACTAATACCCCGAAATTGGACTCGATAATGATTTAATCGGTCCACTTGTCGGCTTCAAATTTTCTGTGTCTACACAAGTAATAGGTGAAAAGTGCACTATGAAGTAAAATAAGCAATTAGAATTCGATTATTTTTTTTAAAAAAAAATACTCATAATTTCTTTAGAAGTAGTATCTGTTCTATACTTTCTCAAATAATTTCAGCTCAAAGAATCTAACTCCATCGTCGGGGTTCAAATCTACGATCATCCATTTACAATGGTAATTGAGATGTCATCACACTACATAATAGATGTGATTTTATTTTTCCACGAACTAATTTTTTTAATAGGTTTGTAAATAATAAAAATAAACTTCATTTTAATTATTAATTGTATTTACAAAGAATTACCGAGATTTTCTGGTTAGTGGATCTCACTTGATAAAATAAAAATAAAAATAAAAATAAAAACAAGTTGATGCATGTTTCGCACACCAACAATGTCCATTGGACGCATTAAAAGTGAGCGTTGACTAATACTGTTTTTTTTTTTTTTTTAATTACAGAATACCCTGTTAAATTGTAAGATTGTGATAAAGGTCTACATTAGACTAATCAATGAATCAATGCAACATATATCAGAGATTTAATTTCCTTTTGCCACTGGTCTACGACTTTAATATTATGTATTGGTTAAGAAGTTATTACATACATTATAATAAGTCAATGGCTAATTATGGCTATATATACTTTTTCAAAATTTCCTTTCTACAAAAATATTTAATGGACGAATTCTAATTGTTAAAGTTAGTATACTCATGTTTTATTAAATTTGATGATGACCCAATAAATTTTGGTACATCTAATCATTAGAGATTGAAAATGTCATTGTGTCTAGTAGTTATTCATTCAGTTACTTCCAACATTTGAGTCATTTGGTTCTTTAATTTATAGGATGGATCACCTCTAGTTATCCAATAGTACTGTTGAGTTTATCGAAATTTAATTTATCTTTTTTTTTATGTAATTTGAGAATTATTACACACGATTAAATTTACTCAGTATACATTTTTGAATAATAATGACTATCGGTATATAAGACATTCACATTTTCGAATGAGTTTTATTACATGGACTCTCATTCTCTACTCCCTCACTTTTACTCACTGACATGGCAAGTTTATGATATGTTATCTTCATTCTATGGGTCTCAAACAAAGTGTTAGCATCAAATTTTTGTGTGAGTGAGTAAAAGTATGGAGTAGAACTTGCTAGTCGAAGTATTATTTTCATTTTCTAATACTCGATATATATAAACTCACAAATCACTAGGAGTAGGGGTGTTAATACGGGTCGGCGGCCTACCCCATTAGGTCAGCCCAACCGAGAACTTTTTGAGTCGTTATGTTGTGCATGGTGCACACGGATGCAAAAACGACGTCGACTTAAAAAAAATAATTCAGAATTGTATAACTACACATCAATAATTTCATAACTATACTTCAAGAATTGCATAACTATACATCCCGAATTGCATAACTACACATCCATAACTTCATTACTATACATCCAAAATTGCATAACTACACATCCATAACTATAAATCCAAAATTGCATAACTTCGTAACTATACATTCAGAATTGCATAACTACACATCCATAATTTCATAACTATAAATCCAGAATTGCATAACTATACATCCATAATTTCATAACTATACATTCAGAAATTATGCACAACATAATGTTGTTGACGGGAATCGAAACTAGATTATTTTTTTTAAAAGTTGGACACGCGTTTTTTAGTCAAAACGTTATCGTTTTTGCATCTGTGTACACCATGCATGGTGCACACGGATGCACAACATAATTTGTCGAACTTTTTTTGGCGGGTTAGCCCTCGAAAGCCGTGTGCTAAGATTATGTAACTCTAGCTCACCTTATGCTGGCTTGAGAGCCCTCGTGACCCGCGAAGATAACGGGCTAACTCGCGTAGTCCACCAATCCGCACAGACCAAGTTCGCAAAGTCCTCATCTTCGCAATTTAAAAGTTATAAGCTGTACTAATTGGCAATTTATATCCTGCACCATGACGCGCGTTGCATTGTGCGTCCAGATGCAAAACGACGTCGTTTCAGATTTTTTTTTTGAAATTTCGCTTCCCAGTGTTTGGCGGTTAATTTTCCTTAAAAAATCTCATATTCAAAAATGTACATAATGTTATACACGAATGTACATAATTGTATACATGAATGTACATAATTGTATAACAAAATATATATACTGTTTTTTAAAAGATAATACACATAATCTAACATAATACATAATAAACATAAACTTTTAACATAATATACATTAACTCTGATCTTAACATAATACACAAAAATTTCCTGATTCGGATGTACATAATTGTATAAAAAAATGTACATAATTGTATAAAAAATATACATAATTGTATGAACAAATATACATAATCACAGCAATTTCCTACCGCACCTTCTAAAATGACGTCGTTTTGGGAGGCGTGCGATGCACAATACTACGCGCGCCGTGGTGTAGAGTATAACGATTGGTACTAATTCGTCCCATCACGAGCTAATATAGGGCTGATTTGTAGGCCCACTTTGACACCTATATATAACTAGGAGCAAATCAAGTTACTTCATCCTTCACCCAATCAATTTCTTGCCATATTACAACGGTTTTAATATTATGTATTGATTAAGAAGTTATCACATGCATCTATAATAAGTCAATGACCTAATCTATTAAGAAGTTGTTTTTAAAAAAAATCTATTAAGAAGTTATCACATGCATGACGGCACAAAATTCAAAATTTCCATTCTAGAAAATTACACAACTGATTCAACTCTACCCATTTGGCCATTTTACGCAATATATATAACAACAAAGTATAAAAATATATTATAATAATATGTAAAGTACAAAAATGAAAACAAATTAAGAATAAAGCCAAAGTCGATTTCTTCAATGAATAGCAAATGTGGCGAGCGGCAGATGAGACTATGTCTAGCATGGCATATGGTCCATATGGAAGGTCCACTCTCTTATTACACCCTGGAAATAATAAACTCTGTTATTATCAAAATGATAAAATGTCAACTAAGAAATTAAAGTCATATTAGAAAATGGCAAAGTTTGATAGGTTCTACATCCATGCATTAATCATGCATGATTTCATGCTTTGCTTATTCATTATGTAAGCAAATGTTTCTAGAACTTCAATATTACGTTGACATTTTAATTTTGAATCACAAAGAAACTTGCGACTATACAAGGACGTGTACTAATTATTTACATATATGTGGTAGACATGACTTCACAACTTTCTATAATGTACATTTTTCAAAATAGCAATAATGTTTTTAAGAAATAAATGTTAACATATATGGTATTATTCTTGGAGAGGGGAAACCTATTAACTCTTTGTGTCCATAGTACTAAAATAAATATAATATAAAGATAAAAGAAATCATTTCCCCTTCTTGAAATATATAATATTTTGGATAATATGAAGATTCCCCATCCACCCGTGGACTAAAAACTTAAAATATGAACACTTTAAATAAATAATAAAAAATACAATGTAAAAATTCGGCGACAGATAAACTAATTAAACTAACTGAAATGAGTTGTTGACCAAACAATGAGATCGAGGACGGGAGGAGCACTTACTGTTGAAATTCTATATTTAACGACGGAGCCGAGGGGTCGGCGATGGCGGCGAAAGCGGCGTCAGAAAGAACCATGGTGGTTTCCGGCCGAGTTGACTTGGAAACCGACGATTGCGCTCGATCCACGATCCGAATCTGAATGGTCTGACCCGCTTTACAAGCTTTGGGCAAAACGGAGCTTATGCAGCTCACCAAGTACTGCCTCCCACAAGATGCGCCGTTGTCCCAAATGCCCTCGCCGGCCGCCGCGAAATAGTTGCTCGACGGAAACTGCGCCGCCCCGCTCCCAAAGCAAGCCGTCGCTGCACATTAATAAAAAAATCAGAACCCCAATACTTATCTACAAAAAGCAAAATCCTTTACTTCGGGCCCACACTTTGATTCGACAGAATTCATGGAGGTGATAAATTACAATGACTTAACAGCTCGTTAAATAGAATATCAGTATTTGATGCTCAGAAGGATCGGAGCCTACTACATTAATATAACTCTCACACTTTAACTGTCTAGGCTTGATCAAGATTCCAATAATACTTTTCCCGAAAAGTTAAATCTCTAATCCCAAGAATCCCCACATCCGACACAAAGTATTTGAGAGGATGTAAATCAGAATGAATCAATGACTAAGCAAACCGGACCAAATGCCCATGCCTGCAACGAATCTGTCCACTTTAGGCAACTCAAATAATATTCCATGCTAATGTATGCTTTGCATGTTTTGATCTGAGGAGCACTGCAGTTTCTTCAAATGGCGGCGCCGGCGACATTACCGGCGATGAATTCCCTAAGAACATTTTGATATTCGGAGATGTCATAAAAAGAAGTATAATTCGATTAACTTACGAGTGTAAGGTGGGCTATACTGGCTTGTAGTCCCTATATCAGCACATGAAGGAGGGGAGAAGAGCAGAAGAATGATGAAGAGAGGGAAGATGAGAGAATGGTGGAGATCTGACATTCTGAGTATCATTAATGGAGAAACAATTATATTATTACAGGGTTTGGAAACGTTGGATCAAGGAAATGGAAGAAGTTTCCTATCTTTATATACTACTCTTCTTCTTTTAAAATATAGAAGAAAGAGCCAAAAAATTTGTGGTCAAACCACAGGAAGCTAAGGGACATTTTTTATTTTTTTTTAGGTGGGAGGTCATGGTATTGAGTCTGCTAAACAATATTGACTTATTGAGTTTAAGTAGGTTAGAAAGTATATATAAACAGATACATACTACATATAAGAGGGTTTACTAATAATGGCACGAGATAACTCTATCATATGAGAGATTATGAGTTTAAGGCTTAGTAGACAATATTACATTATAAACTCTTCTTTTTAGATAGATTAAGAAAATAGTTATGAACAGATAGTACATTATAATAAAGTAGTTAGTACTCAAATAATAATAATAATTGCACCTTTTAAGTTCAAACCTGCCAGAGTATATATATACTGCAAGGAATAATTTTTTAAAAATAATTCTCTTTTAAATTTATCATATTTAAAAAAAAAAAACAATTTATCATATTTATTGATTGAATGTCAACTCATAAATATATGTTAAAATAAGAATAAACAGTCACAATATTAATAATATTCAATTGTGTCCGAACGTTTCAAAAAATCACAACTTCACGCCTAATACTCTATTGATCCTTCATTATTTCCCCTTTACTTTTCTTGACATATAATGAATGCCTTCTAATTCTCCCTTTTATGTCTCTCATGTTATTAATTCTTTTTGGAATAAGGATCAAATAGGCCACTGAATTGCACACAAAACAACAATTGAACCACTAAACTCAAAATACCTACAATTAGATCCCTTAACTGATCAATACTATACAATTTTTCTATTTCCCAGTTTTACAAGTTCTCAATCGGTTAAGCTGGCTGCCATGTGTATTATTTTTAATTACAATTTTTTTTTACACCACAAACTCAATAATATTCTCGTTGCTACTTTTTTGTTGGCCACCAAAGACAACAGATTCTCGCAATCTCGCAAAATCCCGACGATGAAGAGAGATGGGTATGTGAGCAACGTAACAGTACCGGAGAATTATCCGGCGACAAAGAACTTACTGGCAGCTGAGCAACATAGCTTGAGAATCCTCCGCCTCCACTACCGTGACCAGGTTCTGATCGATCACCGTCCGAATCACCGACGCCTGTACGTTTGTGGTGTCATCGCCGTCGATTCGAGGGAACTGAGCGGATAATATGAATGCAAAACGTGAAATCTGATGACGACGATTTTTTTCTCGGAGGGTAGGGATTGGAATCGAAGGGAGGCGGGCAGATTTGAGAATGCTTGGCCTTTGACTTGCTCGAATTCGCCTTCCGTTTCGAAGGAACCAGAATCAAATTCTCCGAGAAACATAAAGATATTGTACGACAATGTCTTGATTTGAGACAGAACACAGTGGCGTTGGAGGTTCGCGAAACAATGGTTACGACGCGGACTCTAAGTAATATTATGACCCGAAAGTATGCCCGACTCGTAGTTTGAAACAAAGTTTGTAGTCACGATCTTCCCGCCGGCTGGAATGAGGTAGAGGTCTGGCCAAGACAAATACTCAAGCAGCACATGGAACAAACTAATTAAAAGAGGAAAAATGAGTTATTAATTAAACTGCTACAAACTGGAAATCTGGAATGATGCGGAGGTTCGGCTATGTTTCCAACGGCGACAAGCTGGGAAAAAAAGTAATTAAAAATTACACATGGCAGGCAGCTGCCAAGTTAACCGTTTGACTTTGATAACCTGTAAAACTGGAAGATTGGAAGAATTGTATGATATTGATTAGTTTAGGGACCTAATTGTAGGTTTTTTTAGTTCAATGGTCTAATTGTAGTTTTGTGTGCACTTCAGTGGCCTATTTCACCCTTATTCCATTTTTTTTAATCAAAATAATTATTGGTGAACGATGGGCTACAAAGATTTGAGATAATGAGAATATGAGCACACATGTATAATAACTGATAAATGATATGCACATTTAAATGTCAAAATTATAAAACACAATCACAAATTAAACTTCATACCCTCAATTAAATTTATAATAGAAAATTAACATGTAAGATTTATTCATAATTGATTAAATGTTTAATTGCAATTATGAATTGTGAATCACTTTGTGAAGTTTATTCATAGTTGATTGACAATTGAATTGTAAATTAAGAATTGTGCATTTGCTAAAATTATAATATGTATTAGTTTATGATCGATATAAATTAAATTTTGAGATTTATAATGAAGGTTAATTTATAATTAATATCAAAATTCTATATTTCTACTTAGTTGAGAACGTAAAGAAATGTTATCTCATAATCTGTTGTGGGCATTAAAAGAAATGAAGCAGTCTTAAATCTCCAAGCCAACTGTCCCATCCAAAAGAGATGCCTACAATCCAGCGAGAGAAATTAGTCATTGTGTCTCACGATAGAAACCTTGAGTATATCCAAATAATCTGTCGTGGGCATTATATTTTGTTATTTTGTATTAAAATTCTTTTTATTTAATTAATAGTGTTTTATATTTAATTTTGTCATAAATAGTTTTTATCATATTTAAAATTATTTTAATTTCACCCCATCCAAATAAGTTTTTAAATCCATCCCGCTTGCATAAGGTTTAAGTGGTTAAACTAATACCAACAAACCATATAAGGATATCGGAGAAATTAAATTAGTCATTTTCATTATCTTTAATTTCAATGTGTTCTAGAACAAAATTACTATTCTACTACTCAGGAAAATATGATCAGAAATTATATAACCGGCCTAGGTAAAAATTGTCTTTTGGGAAAATGACTTTTACATAATACAGTGAAGCATAATTATATCATACTAAAATTCAAAGATTATATAGCCGGGGGCCGGCATATGCAAATGCCAATTGTTATTATACCATGGAGGCAAGAACTAGGGTTCATATTTTATCGTGAATCTTGATATAAAAGTTTTGTACATTCAGTTAACACATTCTACTACAAATACAAAATGTTTAATTATAAATATAAAAATTAAAGGTTATTTTTGGATCAGGGTTTACAACACAAGGTAGACTCTATTCCATGATATAGTTTGCCTGCAAATACTACCTTTGGGAAATTTAGTGAATGAAGAAAAGATGAAAAGGTAATTATTAGTGGTGTGCGAAATAATTGATTTGTTTACAAATAATTAATAAGATCAGAAGGGGTTTAGTAGCTAGATAAGTTTGAATTTTTCTGGAATTTAAAAGGGAAAAATTATTCTCATCGTTTGATGTAATTTTTGACTTAAAATTTTTTAGGTCAATGAAAATCAGATTTTATGATATCAAGTAAAGTAAATTTCACCCAAAATGGTGAGATTCTTTTTCATGGCCTATTGAGAATCTGTCAACTTTATTCGATTACATATTTATTCTTTTTGGTGTCATAGTGTTGTCAAGTTAAAAATCTCTTATATAGCAAGGATATATTAAAGATTTTTAAATTTTTTAGAGAATGTTTAAATGAACCAAACGTGTTAATTAATTTTAATTTCTAGATAATTTAATTGGTATGTTTCTAAGGGAACACTAAACATGCTAATTAATTTCCACAGTAAAGTTATTTTCATCAAATATATTCCTTGGAAATATTTTCCTGAAAATTTAACAGATGAAAAAGTATCAAGCGTCCTCCCACTAGTATAAAAATGAACAAAGAACACTACTTTTTAACAACTATTCTAAAAAACAGTATTGTATTCTTTAAAAAAACTTGCAGTGACATAATTGTAAATATTTGAATAAGAATTCGAACGGTTTCTAAAGAAAACAATCGTGGAAAGTCTAAGGCCTTCTGCTACCTTAATATTCGTGATTGTTGTACAATAATTGTAAAAAGTTTTTTACAATAGGAGCAGATGAAGTTTTCTATACTAGTGTCTAAAGAATAACACGTTGTGCGGCGTGAAGTTTGTATACATGCATGTTATGGACTTATGGGAGATTTTTAGAGCACATAATAATGAATGGATTTTCAATGGATTAGTTATTGTGTCTATGGATGTGGTCATCAAAAGAGCTACCATTTACATGAAAGATCGAGATAAGCGATATTTTGATTAGAAAAATATGGTCACATGCATGCATGCATCAATGTTACAAGTTTGAGGTAGATTAGATGGACTCATGTATTAGTGTATAATAATATGAAACTCGACATCAATAGGAGGAAAAGATATAGATCAGAGTCTAAGAATGACTGCTCTAGGAAGATTAGTTTTAAATTAATTTAAGGGGGTGAATTCAGATTTTTAAAGTGATAGATTTTAAATGACGAGAAGTGGATTATTCACTTTATAATGAGAATTGGGCATATTAATATACAGTTTTAATTTGTAGCATTTTGGGGTTTAATTTGAAATGATTTTAGAGTATTAAAAAACAAAAAAAAAAAAAAAAAACCAATGATCTTATACTCTAGCGGTACCAAGTTGCTCTCCCATATAGTAAGGTTGGAGTTTTAATAGATTGAGAAAATGGTTATGAACAGATACTGCATTGTAATAAAGTCAATACTATTCAAAAAAAGAAAAAACAAAAACAAAAACAAAATGCTCTTGAACTTGGAGGTGAAGTGAAGCTTTGAACATCCATAGTAGTTGATATTTAGGGTTTTTGGTACAATCCAAAAAATAAGGGGTGATTTTTTATTTATGTGAGATGTAGTTTTTTGTGGGATTTAACTCCTACAAGATCAAGTTTTTAATGGGTTCCACTAGTTGAGAAAGAAAAGCAAAGTAATGCATGGGTAGCCGCGTGACGCAACACACCAACTAGGCGCGTTCCAGTTGGCGCGTCTGCTAGCTGTGCGTTTAGTGGGTCGTTATATCGTGCACCACAGTGCATAATCGATTATGCACCACGCGTCAGACACTACAGTGTGTCTAAACCGACACTACAGTTATATAAAAATGATACTGTAGTTGTGGTGAAATGAAAGTACAGTATATATAAAATGAAACTGAATAACATTTCACATATTTGAGTGTATATTGTACAA